ACGATTTCCGAAGTGGAAATTGAAACGTCAATAAACGTATTTTTATCTTTAATTGTGGCTTATTCCCAGTTTAATAGTAATTAATTCACAATGCCACAAGAAAATAGCTTCAGAACAATCTTAAATTCAATGCGATGAGGGAATTGTCGATAATTAACTAACAAAAAACAATGTTTAACAAAAGTCTGTACAGAAAATATTGGTAATCAAATTCGGTCAAAACCTACAGAGTTTACAAAAATATCTGGTTTTTCTGCAATATATATGCAATAACCTCTTCCAAAATAATTCCAGCATATTTTGCAACTGTTCATATTATATATCTAACCTTACTTCGGGAATCTCATGTCCCCCGAAGATGGAATTTACTTTGTTGTGTGTGTGTGCGGCGTGTGCGCGACTGAACGCTAAAATGTACGATGTAAGATGTTACATTATAATACTAAATTTCGGGAAACTACAGAGGTATTTTTTTAAGCATATAACCTGTTTTATATATTTTTAAAATTTAAATAGTATTTTAAAATTAAATAAAGTAATTTTATTATTTATTTATTATTTATATTTTAAACAAATTATATTATATATTAAAATAACTCCATAAATTATTATGTTTGCTTCTAACGCCATTATTTCTGACAGACCTGTCAAATTCAGACGAAGTATTAAATTAATAATAAAATATAAATAAATATCATTTGATAGTAAATTTAATTATTATCTAAACTAAATATGTTTAAAAATATTAAATGTATTTATATGAAATTATTTTAAAACGAGAATACGTAAAAATTTAAATAGATTATTCTCTATTGTTATTAATTGGATGACATTTATGACTTTTAAATTTTGACAATCGCTACGATCGAACCTTTCATTGATATATATTCTCTTAATTTTTACTTCTCATTTAATGTCTATATTTTGTTAGTTATTTTTCATACAGTATTTAATTTAAACCTATCCTTGACGCCTTCTCGTTGCGCTAGTTCCGTGACACTCGCCTCAGCATTTTACGAGAAAAAAGTAATATAACGCCAGTATAGAAGCTTCACTTCAAAAAATTATACGTTTTGTCAGATGAGGCCTGTGAAGACCATTAGCGATATATTTCAAGTTCCCTGTATCTTTTTATTTTCATGATTTGCAGAGAGATATTATTATGAGTAGAAAAGTTATATAGTTTTTCAATGTTATCAATAAAAAAATACAAAGTTTGTGTTGTATTTTCACACGGGAGTGGATTGACAGGCCTCGCCTTCCCGCTGGAGGATTAAAAATTTTCCTTTTACGATTAGTACACATTGTGTTTACGCAAAAAACCGAAATCACCAGCATTGCCATTAAATTGAGTTTTATTCACGTGTTCCGAGTCTCGGTGGGAGACGTGACTCACTCTCGTAAGTTAAATAAACTACGAAAATAAAAAATAGGACAGCTGGTGCTCAAACTGTTTGATCATTTTTTCAGTTTTAATTCCGATATCCTCGTTGTTTATAAATACTGCTCGGTAGGTCAATAGAATTTTTGCGCACTTAACTATACCACCCGAAAAATAGACCGGAAATCACTAAACAGTTCCAAAAACAATAAAACTTACAATGTAACTGTTTCGTTGGCAGATTTACTATTCAAAACTATCTAAAGATTTAGGTATTTAATAAATTGGCGTACGAGTTATGACCGTGAAGTTTTTGAGTGATTCAATCAAGAGTATTTTACTCACCGTTTCGTTATATTTATAATTAATTTTTCAAAACTAGAAATGTAAATTGTCAGAAACTCAACAATAATAATTATTTAACGTATTCAAATACGAACCGTGTATCTGTTAAATCGAACAGATATTGTTCGTATGTCGCGTGTGTCTCTGTGTGTGCTTATTGTCACCTTTTTCCTTTTTTCTTCTTCCCTTAACTTTTATTTGATTTTGGATATTATTTTGTTTGGCTTTATTTATGATCATCTGGTTTTACTTATAGGTAAAATACTTATACGTTATATTACTCCTATCATCCGGCGTGAGCCCATAACCGTAACGTCCTTGTCTTCGGCGTTTCCGGACCCAGCCTATTCTGGCTCTCATATCTGCTAGAATCAGCATGGTCTCCAAATCTGAGCTCTTCCTGTTGTTTCGAACATCTAATCCTTGTTTAAACCTGTGGCCTCACAAAAAGCCACAAGTCTTTTTAGGGGTAACTCCTTCATTTGTCTCGGTTGTGTAAAAGCCGAATCCAGGATCTGCCACCTCTGTTTTAATAATATTATCAATACTATACACTTCAATCAATAACTCTGTGTTAAATATTAATAACAATCTGTTAGACCTGGTTATAAGTAAAGACTGAATCATAAGCGTGACAGAAAAATCAAAATATGCATTTTATAAGCACACAATTTTGCAAAAATAATCAAAATAGTTCTGAAGTGAGCAAGGTTCAAGAAAAACTGCCGTAGCTTATAAGTAAAAATGTTATACTTTATTTCTTTAATGCTTGACAGTACGCTAAAGGATCACAGGTTATAAACCAGAAACGTACAGTGTAAAACTCACAGAAGCATTTTATTTGGTATAATATAAATAACCACTCAGTCTGAAATATAAATAACAAAAATTTAACGCATATATCTCGACAGCACCGAACTCGACCGACAGTGTTCACTTAAATATCGTAGAGTAAGGATGTATTCCGACGAGTGCGAGAGCAAAAAGTGATCATCAATAAGAACAAGTAAAAATCTAGTTATTAAAATAAACAGTAAAGTGGCAGTGACGTACCAAATTCTATTTTCTATAATGAACAATTCACACACACGAAACACAAACAAACAGTGTCTATGGTAGACAGTATGTCTCAGTAGAATCAGCAGAAGTTACAGGTAAGCAGCAGTAAAGAGTGGTAATAAGATATATTCATCACTTTATACACACAACAGATATAACAAAGGAACTAGAAAAAGCCGGCTATAAGTTCGCAATATAACCAACATTCGACACAGGCAAACAAAGGAACCCTTAGCTTTATTTTTCATAGACCTTAGACCCAACAGTAACAACAAAGACTATTTAACCTAGAATACTTATGTCAGACCTAAATAGCAGTTGAGACAACAAATAAGAGAAACTCAATCATGTTCTGCATGCGATCTCAAGCATGCGCCATAGTAATACATATTGCACTAAACCGCACTACTGCGTCAAATGTGGAGGACAAAATGATACAAAAGATTGTAAAAAACCCAGAAACACTGCAGCTAAGTGTACACTATGCAAACAATCACACTGCTAACTATAAGGGCTGTGTAGTCTACAGGGAACTAGTAGAAAACATACATATGCCAAACACAGGAAACCAACAGCCACGAAAGAACAACATTTAACAGCACACATGTATGTATTGAAACAAATCAGCTAAACACCACTCTACAAAACCATTAAAGAACATATGCAAACGTGCAAGCATCTCAAACCAACCACGAATCAGAACTTAAAACTAATATAGAACAACAGCTAATAACATTCCTAAACGAATTCAGAAACATGTTACAACAACTTACAACTCACGAGTCAAAGTAGTATGAAATTCTAGTTATAGTAAGAACGCAAGCCATTAACCAAAGAAATTCTTAAACATACTTACCACATGGACCGCTAACGGTCTGCTAAACCATAAGGAGGAAGTAATTACTTTCTTAAACCTAAATAAAATCGATGTTCTACTTATTTAAAAAAGCCACTTTACCGATCTAACTACGTTCAATATTCCGCTCTATACTACATACAGCACACCTCACCCTGATGGTACAGCTCATGGTGGCTCGGCGGTAATCATCCGCAGCTGCATATAACATTATGAATTTCCGACATATGCAACAGAAAAATTACAAGTATCAACGGTTCAAATGAATGCAACGCCACGGCACTTTAACATATCTGCAATGTACAGCCCACCTCGTCATGCAATCTCCACAGATGAATGCAACGCCTACTTCCAATTACTTGGCAGGAAATTCGTATCTGGGAGAGACTGGAATGCTAAAAAACACACTGGAGTTCAAGACTCACAACAACAACAGGTCATAATCTTCGAAAAGCAACCAGTGACCCCAGAAAACTTCCAGATCTACTGGACTACTACATAAGTAAGGGAGAGTCCAGAAACAACTCTCTAATAGAATTAAGCTATGATCTGTCATCTATGTTTTCGGTAAAATCATTCCTTTACCCAACAAATCCATCGAATGATAAATAAAATATCAAAAGTCTTGAAGAAAAGAAATACTGCAACGCTATATTTCTAGACATCTCACAAGCGTTTGACAAAGTCTGGCATAGAGGTCTGCTTTACAAAGTAAAAACTATCCATTAACTATTTCCTCCTACTCAAATCCTACATATCAAATATATATTTATTTGTATAATTCAATGACCAACAATCTAACCTCTGTCCTGTCAACTCCGGAGTCCCGCAGGGTAGTGTTCTAGGCTCTTCTCACTCTACATAGCTGATATACCAGAGACTAATTATATTACAATTTAATCAACGATATTTTTAATTGTAGTAGTATCAGACAAGTTTTAAGAGGAGTTGGGTTTTGCCTGTTAGACATGAATAATCATCGATCTATGTATCAACCATTGTACAAGTTCTCAGGACTTCGGAAGATCTGATGTATAAGCTTTTTGCTCCGCCAATATCCAATGGACCTTTTGTTTGGCTCTGGTATATCCAGAGCTCTTGTATCAAGGCGACATCAACAGATACTTTTCTAGAACTTTGATAGACGGGGTCGCCTCTTTCTCATCTAAGTTTGATCTAAAAAATAACAAAACTATATACATAATATATCTACATTATATCATATGTGTTGACATATAATGTTGATGGATTACCCTACAAAGTAAAAAATTTTTACTCTTAATAACTTTTGCATATATTCTATAATTTTATGTCTTTCGGTTTGTACGAACCAATTTATATTCTATTTTTGTCTTTCAGGTACATCCAGCTCAATACAAGCCGGTGTGGAAAGTTCCTCTACAGAAAATCTGCACGACAACCAAGATACTAGTAATATAAAAGTCCTTCTTGATTCACTAGATCCACATTTGAGGCCTGTAACACCGGACTATTCTGATCCTCAGTCAGTAGCCTTATTAAACGAACATATTCAGTTAGCAGAAGAATATTGGAAGGTAATTTCTTTAACATGTCGGTTTTTTAAATAAATAAATCGGTTACTGTGTGGTGACTTCGTCAACTATTAAGACTGTTATAAATAGTATAGCTGTATACGCTAGTAGCGACATCTATATCAAGAAACAAGAAGTCAGGAGACTTCTCATCGATAGTTATTTGGGTGAACTGCGAATCCAAGCTTACTGAAAACTATTGGACGATGTTATGAATAGCCTTTAATTTCGACAATGCATCTTGTACCTTGAAAAACACCTTCATTTGCACTCATTACTTAAAGTACAGACGTTAAAATGAAAGTAAACGATTGCATTTCTTTTCAATTAGAGTTCCACCATTTTCTTACCCGTGCTTCGAGGTTTACTTCTCGACAGGAAGACTTGTGAGAACTCTATCGTTGTTCCTCTTTCTTTTTAACTGCCTAACACTCCGTCCCATAAATCATAACTATGGCAGTTTTATAGAATTTTTATTTCAGTTTCATTGGAATCTTTCTGTCACTCAACACACAACTGACTTCCTTCCGTAGTAACCATCTTACATTCCATCTTTAAATAAACATTCCAAATACTCTGTTTTTGTCCTACTAAGTTTTAACCGTTTTTCTACAAGAACTTGTCTCCACTGCTCCAGTTTTTGTTTTCAGTCCCTTTAAGTTTCGCTGTTATCTAATCCAATATTGATGAGAATAAATAAAGACTAAGCACTGAGCCCTGATGTCCACTGACAGATGTAGGTGAGACTATCAGTCTCTTCCACACCGGATTGAAAATTGAAATGTTAAAACAAGTATAAAATGTAATTATCATTACCATAAATTGTGGTTAAATTCCATATAAAATAATATTTAATCTTGCGATATAATTCCACCAGATATTTTGTCTACCCCGGCGAGATTATGTTATCGTAACATATTTACCACCTTATACAAAATACAAACGCCAACTATTAAATAAAACATTAACGGGGCACTAAACTCACATTGCAGTTAACCAGTTCGTCTTTGGATGTATTACTTAAATACTTACTATCTAAATACTTAACCCATATAATAAATTAAGAATTCAATAGATATTGTAACTACGCTTATTGGAAAAACCTAAATACTTTATCGTTTACAACAAAATTTAAATACCATCACTGTAATTGGCTCTGTCGGTATTTTTACACTGTTGGCATAAAAAAATTACTAATACAATTTTAATTTTGTTTAAATGTTTTAAATTATTTTCCTTTTCTTCTTCTGATTTTCTTGATATAATACACAGAAGTCGAATCAAGTAGAGAGGAAGCAGAAACTCCAAAAAATAATGAAAGGCACTAAGCCTTCAAGCTTTTTCGTATATTTATAAGAAAGAACTTTGAACCGATCGACGAAAATTGAAGGTGGACATTCAGATACAAACGCAAACTTCACTTAACTTTATTCGTCATATAGAGTGGATGGATGACGACGGATTGTCCGGTAGAGCCCCAGATAATAAAATATAGAGCAGAAGACCAAACGGAAGTCACCAAACAAGTCAAGAAACTTACAGAAATTACAATGAACCAAGGTCCAATATCTGAAGTGTATCACTGATGTTAATAACTTATGATATCACTGCTATTGAAAACTCAATAAATAATTAAATGTTTTTCATAATTGTCTATCAAAAACTGATGTCTTTGATCTGGGTACATATACTTGTAAATAAAAAAACTACGTTCTATATCAACAGATGTGATTGGAGTATATTTTAAACTATTTAACAATCGAGTAACTATATAAAATTGTCCACAGACACCAGAAAGAATTTTAGCCATATTTGCTAAAAAGAAATATCATTTATTTTTCTGTGCAACACATTTTTAAATTTTTCTTTTATTTTTTTCCCTGACAGTGCTATTAACACTATTTATAGATATTTCCAAGCTAATTAAACTCATAGATTCTACTAAAGACAACCCATTTGATTCCAACTTTAAAATAGCATCATTACTAAAACAATTTTTAATTGAAGGTGATTACTTGGCAACATCGCACTTAACGAAGCCCTTATCGATAACTTTTCAACGAAATTATATTCCACTTAACAATGTTGCAGAGGCGTACCAAAAAAAAATTAATTATTTATTAAACACAAGTAATTACGTAAAAATTAAATCTAAGACCGATAAAATTATGTAATTATCATTTATCTTTTTAAGCACTGAAAATATATAAAAAATGTTTGTTGCAGGTCCAAACCGAACTAGTCCTCTTAACGCAAAAGAAAAATATGTTATTAGCCGCCAAAGAAGAGGACGAACGAAGGAAAATAAATCTGAAGGAACTCCAAGAAGAAAAAGAATCTTTAATGTTAGCCAGAGACTTGCTGAAGCAACAAAGATCTTCCTCGCCAACAGGTGATTCGTCCGAAAGTTCAGCAGAAAATTGGGTCATCGTGCCAAGGAGGGAACAACAGAGTTGACGTTATTATTGTTATTATTATTTATTGTAAGATATTTTTTAATTTAATATTGAATGAAATTCATAAAAATTGTATATATTTTAAAATAAAACTTAATTTTGTAAATAAAATACTGAAAACTACTTTTTTTATTATTATCGGCTGTAAATAAGTTTCAAAGTAATGAAGGTATTTTCAAAATTCGCAAAATGAACATTTTCCGCTATAACAACTAATATTGAACTATATACACATGACTACATTTTTTATTTCTGTTCTGTAATGCCCCCATTCTGTGGTAAATCGTTTTGTCAACTTTCCAAACCTAGTTTGCTCTTGAACTGAAGAAAGAATACAATGTACCTGTTTTAGCATATTTGTAGTCAAGATGATTTGTGTAACAGTTAATGGAAACTGTAAAGAGAAGAAGAAAAGAGATCACAAGGATGTCTACAAGAACGATGTCCACACTGATACTCTTGCGTTTATACAGATAACATCCATTGTAATAGACTAGTGAAGACTTTATATACTACATACACTAGTATACCTTGTACCCTTGTATCTCGTACATATTAATTTAGCACATTTCCATATTGGAAACCAAACACTCCCCATTATTCAAATATTTCTTCATTATCCCACACGTCGCGCAGTAACTTATGAATAGAGTTAACTAAACCTTGAACAAATGAGTTGATCTTCTCCAGGGGATTTACCGCGTCTCAGTAGCATGATTATTCATTCTACCGCCTCCAAGCCAGAATGCACAATATGCAGCTCTATTGTTACAATTGTCGGGCTTTGATCTGCAATTTTCCTCTCAACTTTTAGTAAGTGCTCGAAATACTTGACCTATCTGCTAATCACCTTATTTTTCTGCCGAAAAATTCTGTCCTCTTTGTCTTTGCAGTAGTTATTCCTTGGTTCAAAGCGTTATTGCGTTATTAAAGCATTGTTATTGTGTCGGTTTAAACTTTCAATTTCGTCAACACTCATCCTTTTTTTCGGAAGCGTCTGAAATAAACCACGTGTACTACATACAGCCAATGATTGTACATCTAGAGGTACGATATGGTTTTTTGAGTTATTTGATAGTCTCCAAAAGCCTGTTAGGATTCTTGATTATTGGTCCGTATCAGGAGTTTGTTCTCCAAGCTTAGATTTGATTTTCGACTCATGTACCAATACATTTTCTGTAGATTAAGCTGAGTTGAAGGCGTTTCTTCTAGATGTGAATACTCCAATTAAGTTTGCAATTCCAAATGAATTCCCAATTATTTAACGACGCTATTAACTGGTAGTGGAGTGTTGTTTATAGAAACTGGTGGCGCGACACCTTTTTTTTAAGTAAACGTTATTTGTGTTTATTTTAAACTGTTAACTTGGACTCGCCACAGTTTAAGCCAGCTCTCTAGTTTAAGTAGGTGGTTTTGTAATACCTGAAATGCTTCAGCTGCTGTAGAATTTGAAACCATGATAACTGTGTTATCATGGTTTATAGCATATGTAGCGATTGTTGTATTGGTCGCCGTTGGGAGATCTGATGTGTATATTAAGTAAAGAGTGGGTCCTAGTATGCTTCCTTGTGGAACACCGGAACAAATTGGAAACACGTTAGTGATTTCCCCACCTCTTTTAACTTGAAAGAATCGAGCTGTCAAGTAGGATCTTAAAAGTGAGCTTATGTGATGAGGAAATATGGATTTAATTTTAGATATAAGTCCTACATGCCAAACTTTGTCGAATGCTTGAGAGACATCTAGAAATGCAGCAGTACAGTAATTTTTTTGTTCGAGCGAATTTTTAAGTCTTTACCACCCTATGAATTTACTCGATAGTACCATGTTATACTATATGTACCTTCTTATAACTGGAGAAGCGATTACTGACAATAGGTAGAGGTGTTCATCTCTTGTTGGCTTTAGGAAGCTGGTAATCAGTCGTTATTGTATTCGCAACAATTGAGTTCTACAAGGAAGGGTTGTTAACCCTTCGCTCAACCCCTTTTCATCGAAGGACCAAGGCTCTCTTCTTCGTCTGCCCTGACCCCACCATCCACTGGGGTTGTTCAGGTTACCGGTGTGTACCAGCTTGGAGGTGAAGATAGGAATTGAGTAGAAGAGGCTAAGTGATGCCGATTGCGTAGGAGAGGCTAAGTGATGCCATTGTAAGGTTTGTGAAAAGTCAAAGACTGTCATGGCTGGGACATGTGCATAGACAAAACGATGCAAAAACAACAAAGAAAATGTTACAATGGAAGCCCATAGGAAGGCCCAGAACGAGATGGTTGGATGACGTGGAAGACGACCTGAAAACAATGAACATAAGACAATGGAGAAGAAGGGCACAGGAGAGATCTGAATGGAAGGACATAGCCAGACAGGCAAAGACCCATCCAGGGTTATGATGCCAAAAGAAGAAGAAGAATCAGTCGTTATGTGTTGTTCATTACACGGTCTATTTTATATGTGTGTCTTGATGGCCAACAAACAGGACGGGCATATTCTGCTGTCGATAGGCAGAGTGCTAGCGCTGATATGGACTAGGGTACCCAATTTTTCGTATCGATCAAACAAAGCAACAGCATTTCAGTATTTGCTCTTGTTAAGTTTCTTATTCTATCCGTTAATGGTATGCAGAATATTCTTCACAGGGTTTCCAGATTTCAAAAGCCTCCATGGAAGATACTTTCAACGTTCAGCCGTATAATAATATGGACCACACATTTTTAACCATCCTGCAGCGGAAATTAAAAGAAAGGTTGTTTAAATATTTACGTGTTATGGTTCATCAAATAATCTGTTTCATATATTCCTTTGTTGTTTTCAGTAGGTTTTAGGTCAATAAACAACATAAGAAGCTGGGCTTTACTTTTAGGAATTATTCCAAAAGTTTGTAACTATATGACCAAGTTCTTCTAACTCCGCTTTTAAATAATGTGTGTCAATCGATTAGTGCAAAGAGTTGAGTACGGCCCTGAAACTGAGATCATTCTTCAACTGATACTATGAAACTCCGTTTTTTCTCTCCATTAACGCTTTTGATATTATTGTATCAGTCGTTTTGGGTTGTACTTTTACCTGGTTATAATTTAAAACTTTCATTTCATAATTATTTTTGACTTTTATATTTAGTAGCTCCATTAATGGAGTTATATTTTTTACTCCTGGAATAAATATTGGTGGACCTAGATTTAAGTCAGTAGAGCATCCATAATTTGTCTGAGGGGAGGGGTTGAAATATTTTTATGCTACCTCCATTTTGAGTCCCTAAAATTTGGGTTTTAGTTTAATTTAAAGTACTAAAGATAACATTGCCAAATATTCAGGTATCTATTATCCTGCCTACCAACTAAAACTACCCTCTCTTGATTGTGAGTATTTGACTGTCGCACGTTACGTACTCCGAAAGAAGAGTGGCCGCTGTAAGGCTGACGATATTTTTGGAACACTCCCTTCTCTTATCTATTGTTCTGAAGCTATTTTCTTGTGGCATTTTGAAGTAATTACTGTTTTAATGGGAATAAACCACAATTAAAGGTTAAAATTAAGTTTATTGACGTTTGACATTATTCCAACTTGTAAATACAATACATTTTTGAGACGGCTATCGCCGTATTTTCGTTTCCTCCACCAATCCTCCGGCCCAAGACATGCTCCTCCTCCAAACCTCTCGATTCCATCGCTCTTGTAATTCCTTCATTCCATAAGCATCGAGGTCTACCTCTTCCAGGGGGCTTCCATTAGTGAAGTTTTTGGGGACAACGTTCGTCAGGCATTCTCAATAGGTGTCTAAACCATTTTGAACTTCTTCTTTCTATTCTGTCAATGACCGTTTCTGTAGCATTCATGTTTTTTCTTATAGATTCGTTGCTCTTCCTTTCCAGCCTTGATGTTCTAGCACTTCTTCTCAAATAATCCATTTAAACTGCCAAGAATCTTGTCTTTCAGGTCTGCATTAACTGTCCATATTTAAGAGCCATAAAAAAGAACTGATTCAACCATGGTTTGCCCTATTCTTTTTTTGTTCCTTTTGGAAACGTTGCGATCCCACCATGAGGAGTTCAGATATTTAAATTTTTTCACTTCAAACCTTGTATCCGAATTGATAACTAAATATTCTGTTTTCTTCATGCTGACTTGTAACCCCCATTTTAAATATTCTCTGTATACACGCTTTATCATAAATTCTAGATCATAAGAATCTTGAGCTAGGACGACTTGATCATCCACAAAATTCAGGGAGAACAGTATGTCATTTTCTATGGGGATTCCCATTCCCTGGCTGGGGTTTTTCCAATTTTGGAGGGCTGCCTCAATATATAAATTAAACAGTAAGGGTGACACACTGCATCCTTGTTTTAGTCCTTTAGTTACTTTTATTGGCTCTGATAGTCTATTTCCGATTTTTAAGTAAGTAGTGTTATCCCGGTATGTGATTATTCTTAAAAGGTATGGACTAATGTCGAGTTGTAAAGATTTCTACAATTTAAGTCTTGGAACTGTATCATTTGCTTTTTCTAGGTCGATGAAGGCTAGATGTACACTTCGGTGCCAACCGCCATTTTTTTTTTCTATTAAGTGTTAGAGTATAAACAAGTTATCAGTGCAAGATCAAAGATCACAAATTCAAACGCCAATAAACTTATTTTAACCTTCAATTGCGGCTTATTCCCATTAAAATAGTAATTAGATCTTATCTCTGCCTTTGACCGGATTGGTATTTCTCTTCTTCTTTTTAATGAACTTCTTCCTTAAGTGCCGTCTCCCAATCGAATGTTGGATATCATCATTACTATCTTTACTTTATCTACTGCTGCTCTAAACAGTTCTATAGAACTGCATTTAAATCAGTCCCTAAAATTATTCAACCATGACACTCCCTTTTTCCTCTTATCTTTCCCTGTATTATCAGCCTTAGCAGTTCATATCGCTGGCCCCTCATTACGTGTCCCAGATATTGTAACTTTCTTATTTTTATTGTGTTTATTATTTCGCATTTTTTGTCCATTTCTCGCAATACTTCCGTGTTAGTTTTCTTCTCTGTCCATGCTATTCTAAGCATCCTCCTGTAACACTACATTTCAAAGGACTGTAATTTATTTATGTGTTCTTGCTTCAATGTCCAGCTTTCAAGTCCATATTGTTCTGAAGCTATTTTCTTGTTACATTTTAAATTAATTACTATTTAACTGGGAATAAGCCACAATTAAAGATAAAAATACGTTTATTGACGTTTCAATTTCCAGTTCGAAAATCGTTCTCAAAATACAAACAGTAAATTAAACAAATTTTGTTTTTTGTTACATAGTGAAAAATTCTTCTAATAATTTAATTTTATCTGACTCATTTATATTGACAATTCAGACATATATTATGCATTTTAAAGTAGACGACTTTAAAATGATATTGCCAATATTGTTGAGTTGCGCTCCTGGGACGACTTTACTTATAAGATAGTTCATTCGATTACATGAAATCAACTTTAACTTGAGAATATTCGTCAGAAAAAAAAATTATAGCATGTAATTCGTCTTTAAAAAGACAAACATATGACATGATGGCAGTAAAATTCTCCTGTTAGTGATTCCATAGTAAATTATGAGGGAAAAAAACCTCATAATACTATCCCGACATGGTAAGAATTTTTCACTATGTAACAAAAAACAAAATTTGTTTAATTTACTGTTTGTATTTTGAGAACGATTTCCGAAGTGGAAATTGAAACGTCAATAAACGTATTTTTATCTTTAATTGAGGCTTATTCCCAGTTAATTAGTAATTAATTTCAAGTCCATATTGCAGTATCGAAAACACGTAGCATCTCAGTGCTCTTACTTTCAGTTCTAATCTAAGATCTTTGTTGCAGAGCGTTGTTTTCATTTTTACAAACGCATTTCTTGCTATTTCTGTCCTAGCTCTTATTTCGGTTGTTTGATCATTACTGTCTGAAATCCAGGTTCCTAGGTATTTGTATTTATCAACCCTTTCTATCGGTATATTTCCCAAATGTATGTTTGTTGGTATATTTGTTTTCTTTGTTATTATCATGTATTTGGTCTTTTTCTATTCATTTTTTGATGTCCATATTTTTCACAGAAACTGTTTGTTTTGTTTAGCAGTAATTGGAGTTGTTCAGCAAAGCTTTTCATAATCACGGTGTCATCTGCATATCTTATGTTGTTAATAGATCTTCCATTATTATTCCTTCACTTTGAGATAGTAATGCTTCTTCAAAAATGGCTTCACTATATGCATTAAATAGTAATGGGGACATAATACATCCCTGTCTAACTCCTCTCCTGATTTCAATTTCTGGACTGGGTTCGTTATCTATTACGATTTGTGATCTTTGATTCCAGTAGAGGTTTGTTATTATTTGTAAGTCCCGTGGTCTATGTTTTTTGTCTTTAAAATTTGGACTAATTTTTCATATCTTACTTTGTCAAATGGTTTTTCAAAATCAACGTAACAAACATGCACATCAACATTCATATCCATCCATCTTTGAGCTAACACATTAAAAGCAAATAACGCTTCTCTGGTTCCTAGTCCGTTTCTGAACCCAAATTGACTATCATATATTCCTTCTTCCAGGGTTTTTTATTTATACGACCATGTATTAATTTCCATTGTCCATTTTCCATATAACCATCGTTTCGATATGTGTCCTGTTTTGTATACCGAGTTAAATAAGTCTACTATAATATCTAAGGTTTCATCATTCATGCATTTTAAGATTTCTATAGGGATTTTGTCTGGACCTAATGCTTTACCAGTTTTGCTGTTTTTTTGACGCCATTTTAATTTCCTCTTTTAATATTTTTGAAACCATATCCTGTTCTACTTCTACCTCCATCTGTTCTGTTCTATTGTCTTTTAATAGTTCATTGATGTATTCTGTCTATCTCTTTAATTTGTCGTTAGTATTCAACACAAGTTTCCCATTTGCATCTTTTAGTATTCCCGGTTTTCTTGTTCTATTGTTGTGAGTTAATTCTTTAATTTGTTTATGTGTGTTAAAACTATCATGTCTTTTCTGGTATTCTTCTATTTCTGCGCATTCTTTTAGCCACTGTTCTTTTGCTTTCGTAATTCTGTATTTTATTTGTTTATCTACTTTTTTGTACATCTGATTATCTTTGGTCTTATATTGATGTCTTTCTTCCATTAAATCTAAAATTTCTTCCGTCATCAATTGCGTCTTTTTATATCTGGTTTGTGTTAGAATTTCTTTTTGACTTTTATCTATTTCTGTCTTTATTAATAACCATTTTTTCCGTCTCAGTATTTTGCAGAATTTGTTCTTTAATGAACTGCTCGGATGTAGTTGTGAACACTATTCCATCCCTCCGTATTTCCCGTCATCTTCACAATCATCTTTCTTACAGTGGGCAACAGCTTCCTTGTTGTTCCACTCTTCTTGCCATCTTTCCATTTCTTCTTTTTTTTTGTAGCTGTTGTCAAATGCTCTCTTCTCTCATAGAGTTGTCTCTTTTCTACAGCTAACACATGCAGAGAAACAAAACCCGGCCGTCGCAGATACAGTCCTGTAGACGCATGCTACTCGCAACAGACTCGTTCTGTCTACTTTTTCATAACCCTAATATTAGGTATCTATATCTAAATATAATGAAAAATAGTATTAATTATTGTGTATTTATATAATAATTATTGTGTTCTACATATTTAAAGTGGTTAATTTAAGTATTCCATTAGCTATTTCGATTTTTTGTATTGTGTGTGAAAGACAAGTTACATTTTCCTAATATTCTTTATATATTTTTTACTTTGTATGGTCTGGGGGGGGGGTTTAACACCCAAAACGCCCCCCCGAGTGCGCCGTAGGTTTACGTTCTTTCTCGGTGTCTTTGCTTTTTTTAAGCCCTTTTCTCTATTCGGATTGCCGAATATAGGCCTCTCCTAATTCTCGCCATTCATCCCTGTTGTTTGTAAGACGTTTTCACATTGGCCCTGCAGTTCTTTTAATATCGTCGCTCCATGGCATTTGCGGTCTTCCTCTGCCTTTGCTTAGAACCTCAAATTTATTAGAAGTAGATGCTGGCTATTTTTGACGTTACGTTTTGAGTGGTAGGAGTGGGTTATTTTATTGGGGTTGTTGGTTGTTGCAGTGGTTGGGAATATACTGTGGTTAAACGTTGAGAAATATGAACATTACCTTGTAATTGTTGATCAGTTTACACTTAATATTGATGTGTTCCAATAGGTGTAGGATCCATTTTCGTTTGCTGGCTGCCATACAGAACTCCTTGATTGAATGGCATGGCATGATAATTTATCACCGTAGAAGCAGCGGAGTCCATTTTTGTCTACTGAATCCCATTTACAAATGTTTACAACACATTGACTGGCCAATGGCAAATTTACTAATTATCACTGAATTACCGTTGTTAATTACCAACCGTCAAACAACCGAGTTATGTATTCTTTCCACAATTTAAGTTTTTCTTTGATGATTCTTTTATTTTTTATACATATTCCACCATCATTTGGCGCTACAGCCCTTCGTGAGCCCTGGCCTGCCTCAAAACATTCTTCCATCCGTTCCTGTAGAGTGTCTGTCTTCTCGATCCTCTTATTCTAATCTCCCTAATCGTCGTAGTTTGAGCTACGAAGGCCCCTACACACCTCTTCTTCTCTCTCTTCTTTGTCAACCATTTTCCATACACTCCTGAATGTAGGTCTCTCCCAAGTGCTTCCATCTTTCTCTTTCTTGCGCCAACCTAATCCACTGTTCGCCTGCCACTGCTCTTGTCATCTACCTATCTTTTTTGAAGTCTTCCCATGCTTCTTGTTGTCGTCCTTGGTCTCCATTCTAGAATTCTCCGTGTCCACCTGTTGTCATTATATCAGGCTACGTTACCGGCCCAGCGCCATTTCAATTTTGTAATTTCTTCTACAATATCCCTAATCTTCGTTCTACGTCTTATCTCGGTGTTTCTAATCTTGTCTCTCAGTGATATTCAAAGCATGATTCGTTCCATTGCTCTTTGCGTTGTTTTTAATTTTTTAACAGATTTTTTGGTAAGGTCTACTGTATCCAAGCCGTAGGTACAAACTGGTAGTATGCATACACACCACGAAGTAGTAACATGTTTTGTACAGTTCATCTAGACTTAGTTGTTCGGAGTCCTAGGTCATGTATATACGAATACGCACAAAATTGAGTATGGCACATTAAGAGGAACATATGAACACAAATGCAGCAGAAAAATTGTGGAATAAAATAATAATACGAAAGATTAGTGGGTACAAAGTATTATTTACAAATAAATAAATATAAATCACAATACATTTTTCAGCGTAAAAATTATGATACAGCACAGCCATAAAAATAAGTTTATGATATCAATTTATCCAAAGCTTTATCCTTATCATTGTCACACTGGACCAGCGCGTCTGAGATGTCTTTTTCCGCAAATCCTAAGTCTAAAAGATCTGTCAATGCCAATAAATGGTCTACAACCTAAAACAAACATATTATTTTATTATTAATTTTATTCTAAAACTAATTTCTAAAAATAAATAAAGATGATATTTTACATTCCAACAAATAGAAAATTCCCGCACAGAATAACTTTCATATTTAAAAATTTCAAACAACAAAAAGCATATACCGAGAAACAGGATATGTGCAAACCAGCGTTATTTCAATATAAATTCCTAATTGTAATTTTTTTCGATGACTCTTTAGTACGAATTTGAAAAAGTGTAGTTTTCCGAGTTGTTTCTCTTGATATAATAAGAGTGCTCGAACTTCTCAACTTAACTCATAAAGTCATAAATCAGAAGAATGATATTTAATGCAATTTGTGAACAAATATAATCATTTGTACTGAATGTAGTATGTATCGATTTGTTATTATTAACCCACATTCTCCAACTATTAAACCAATATTGAAGCTAGACTAAAAGTAGGTCACATTTATTATATTGCTTTCGATAGACAATCAAATTATACATGTTTTGAATATTTAAGATGATATTTAATTTGGAATGTAACAATAATATTGACTATAATCAGGCAGTTAATGTAACTTGCCATTATCCGCATTGAAATGTCATTAATTTTATCGTAGTAAATATTTTGATAGATAATATCTAGTTATGTCATAGTTATGTTTTGTTTATGAATGTTTGTTGACATTTTTAGTCGGTAAATTTAGAACTTGATATACCATAGGTTATAGTTTGGCAGAATACTAATATTTGTATAGATAATACAAGTACTTTTTCGAAGGAATAGTTTGTTCATTAGGAACCATCAATTTAAGAGCATTTGAACCATTTCATTAAAAGCTAACAAACCAGCATTCGCGGAGAAACATTGAATGCCATTTATCAACTCATTTGATGAAAAACTGCGTAACTGTCACTGAATAGTGTCCCTCACAATAATATTTCACTATTAACTTGTTTAACAGCCAATCTGTATTGGAAACACAAGCGATTTGAACATTACTATAACAAATATGTACAATTACAGAAAAGAGTTTTTCAAATATGCAAATGACACAACATTAATACCAGATATTGTGAACGGACTAAAAACCCTTTATTAACAAGTGAATGAAGAGCACTGGGCTCACGTTGAATATAAAAAAGACACTATATAAGAACTTCACAGCAGTACAGCTACAGACTCCAGACAGAGTCGTAACAAGGCGTGGAGCAAGCCAAGTCGGCGCTATTGTTTCTGTTAAGACGGAGCATTGATTACTCTAGCATTTGCTGCTTTACCTCTGGAATCGAAGCATTTAAAAATCGAAAAACTACTGGGCGCTATTTTTTAACTGTAATATTTGGGGGAGTCAATAGAAAATGCGTAAAACCACCTACCATCTCGTGGGTATCGAAATTTTTACTGCGTCATGATTTTGTAATAAAATTATAAGCAAAAAAGCGAATTTTTCATTCATTTCAATATTGTGAAAACACTACGCATTCTAGATGAAAAAGTTCAACAGATGACTGTCTTGACAATACTTTCTCTTTAAAATAAGATTTTCTAAATTAAAAAATATTTATTTGTTAACAAAAAAATTATTGCAAATTAAATCCGAAAGCAAGCATTTTTTCAATTGTTTTTAGTAATTCAAATGAACAATAAACATTTTTAAAACACATTTCACAATGTGAGTTTTTATGTAGTTGCTATATCTGAAGAATGAAGTATCATTTTTCCCTTACTAATATTTAAATTATCTACGCCGTTTTAACCATTACAAAAAAACAAAATACACCATCTGAAAGGTTATGAAAAACACATATTTAAACAAAAAAGAAGTTTGTACGACCCACAGAACTAGAGATATTTTTTTTAATTCACAACGCAAATGTTTAAAGAGCTGAAATTTGTTAGTAAACCAATAGAAATGTCGCCGAGGCCGCATGGCGGGGGGAAATTTTTTAAGCTTATGAAAACTGAAATCGGAACTTCAAAATGGAGCGCGCTTGAAAAATTTGCAGATCTCGGGTTATATGTAACGTTGAGTATTCTTTTTTTATTTTTGAGGCAGCTAGTCTAAATAATCAGTTCTAACATATTTTCACCCCTATAAAACCACCACCAATCCCTAAAAACTTTTATTTTTCTAAATGTTTTATCATTTTTTTGCATTGTTTAGATTTGTTCATCGTTTTTACTATTTTTATTAACCAATTAAATTTTCTTTATTTAATTTGAAAGAATATATTGTTTGAAATTGTTTTTTGTCCTTATTTTTCTTTTTATTATTTATACTGTTTTTTTAATAAATATTTAAAATATTCATATTCATAAAAAAGTAATATAAAATAATTGCAAGACAAAGAGCATAAATAATTTCTTCAGTATATTCGGTGCTAAATAATATACGTTACGTCTTTATTTGCAAGTGCAGCAGTGGTTAGGAAAAAAACGTACTAATATACAAGTCATTGAAGAAATGGAAGATGTAGAAATTGACATTGATATTATCAGTCTTGCGGATTTTGATTATCTGTACGAAGGAAAAAGTAATTCGAGAATATTTTATTTATAATGAATAATATTACAACAAAGATCCGATTTATAATCGGATTATATTATATTATATATATTATATTATATTATATTATATTATATTATATTATATTATATTATATTATATTATATTATATTATATTGAAACTGACAGCGATGAGGATCATGAAGAACCACAACCAGCTAAAAAAGTAAAATATTCATTTTACTGAATTAATTACCTTGGTGTATATTTTTGAAAAAAATATAAATTGTCAAAAAACTTCCTAATATTCTTTGTAAAAAATAATATTATTTGTGGTAAATTTATAATAATAATTTTTAAAATGTGTTTTTTCATAAATTTTAGATGGCGTATTTTGTTTTTTATAAAGGTTAAAACGGCGCATATAATTTAAATGTATGTAATGTAATGTAAAAATATAAGGCGAAAAATGGTATTTCATTTCATTATTTGTAAGTAAACAATTAAAAATTAGATAAGTAATGGATTCGACCGATACCTGATGGAAATTCATTTTATCTAACAATAAAACACTGAAACTTTTGTTTAAATGTAGCTACTGCCCAAAACCTTACATCGGTCAAACTGGTAAAACTTGAACAAACGTATAGCAGAACATAAAAGGGCTTTCAATAATAGAAAAACAGATTCTACGTACGCACTTCACCTTCTAGACCAGAATCATTCTTTTAATGACGAATTGCAAATTCTTCACATTCAAAATAAATGCCTTAAGCTATCTTTGCTAGAATCTATCGAAATTAACAAATTAAAAAATACAGACATAATTCTGAATAACCAACTTAAGACAAACAGTTCTCCCCTACTCCCAACTTATTCAGTTAAAGACTAAAGTGTAAAAGTATACCAAAAATTAATCACTTGAGAAAGGCACGCTGCCGGAACAGCTGTAGTGATAAACAAAATAAAAATTATAATAAATTTTGTAGATAACAAACAAAAGTTATTTTGTTTTTTGTGAAAACAAAAGTTTCCAGTGTTTTGTTATAAGATAAATTAAAAATTATTAGACTTTTTTAAGAACATGACAATTTGAGACCTTACGAAAAAACTGATACAAAAAAAAACGAAAAAATGATATTTTTTCCCAAATGGAATAAACAAATAGAATTGTTTAAAAACTACTCGACCGATCGACCTATATTTTGCACAAATAGTAACTACATAAAAACCCACATTGTGAAATGTGTTTTAATTATTTTTATTGTTTATTTTAATAATTATAAATTCAAAAAAAAATGCTTACTTTGAAATAACTTTTTTGTTTATAAACATTTTTTAATTTAGAAAATCTCATTGTATTTTCAAGAAAGTCGTCTGTTAAACGTTTTAATCTACATGAAACAAATGAAAAAATTGGCTTTTTTGCTTAACACGTTAAACGCCATGGGTAAATCGATAAAAAATTTAATATAAAAATTTTTAGTATATATATTTGATATTATGTGTTAAGAATATATATAATATTTATTTTTATTTTTGAGCTGATTTTTTCATCATAAATACAAAAAAAAAACACATGGAGGTCACCGGCGCCCTCCGCGGCGTTATTGACTAGAAATTAACTTTTCCGTTGTACCACTCCGCGTCGGTCACAATGCCGGTTACCCTGATGGCCCGGCACAATGTCGATCTATATTTTTCAGAAAATGATTTTTTTTCAATTTTAATGTTTTATTGTTAATTTCTAGTTAGTTAGAGTTGGTTTGTTTTAGTTATGTCATTACTTTCCATAAATATTTATAACAGACAACCTTTTCAATAACATTATATAAAAATTCAAAACTCATTCTATATCTTTTTTAGTTATGTAGGCAGATTTGTCCCATTCAAAAGATTTATTCTATAGTGCCTTGACGGTCATTTCTATATAAAATATAAACGAAACGAGTGACCGCCGGTACAGAAAAGAACTTTGTATAATGCTATGTTGCGGAGGTCACCGGTGACCTCCACGGCGGAATGGCACGTCAGCTGGTGGTCACCGGTGACCCCCATGGCGTCGAACGTGTTAAATGTTAATAAAAAACCATGACACAGTAAAAATTTTGATAGCCACGAGAAGGTAGCCTTTTCTACTGACTTCCCCAGATCCATTTTTCACGTGCTTCTTCGGCTTCATTTCCTGGGGTACTAATACTAACCCATTAGGCAATTCACGTCTATTTATACTAACTAATAGGACAATTCATATAGCAATTCTCATATTTCCAGAGGACGAGAAATAACTAATGAACCGCCAGAGAAACGTGTAGATATATGTAGACTACAAGAAACGAAAAAGGATTAAAGGGTTAAATCAGGGTAGATAATTTCTCATTATCTAATATTTCTTAATTAATATTTCTTATTATATCATAAAATGACAAAGAGAAGACTATATACCTGGAAGTCAGCAGCAGATCAAGAAGAGAGAATTGTAAGTAACCAAATAGAC